ATGATCCCCGCTATCATCCTCTTCTTTGGTCTTCTCATCTTACCGGAGTCACCTAGATGGTTGGCTAAACATGGTAAATGGGAAGATGCTGAGCAAGTACTGGCTATCACCCACGGACATGGCGACAAGAATGCCGCGGTCGTTGTCCGCGAATTGAAGGAAATCAGAGACGAGGTCGAATTCTACAGCAAGAACTCTGACGTTACATGGACAGAGCTCTTCAAACCGGCAATGCTGAATCGTGTACATATCGGTGCTTTCACGCAAATTTGGGCCCAACTCACCGGAATGAATGTCATGATGTGTAAGTTTTGACTACCTTGACTCTGAACTCCGCTAATCCAACACAGACTACATCACATATGTCTTCGCAATGGCCGGTCTCAAAGGCAACAACATGCTCGTCTCATCATCAATCCAATACGTCATAAACGTAATTATGACCATCCCGGCCCTAATCTGGATCGACCGCTGGGGTCGGCGTCCAATGTTCCTCGTCGGCGCCCTTCTCATGATGACATGGCTCTTCATCAATGCCGGCGTAATGGCAACCTACGGCCACGCCGCACCCAAAGGCGGACTCAACGGCATCGCCGCCGAATCATGGGTCATGTCAGGCGCCCCCGCCAAAGTCGTAATCGCATGCTCCTACCTCTTCGTCGCCTCTTTCGCACCAACATGGGGACCAGCATCCTGGATTTACCCACCCGAACTCTTTCCCCTCCGAGTCCGCGGGAAAGCAGTAGCCCTCAGCACGTCTGCCAACTGGGCCTTCAATTTCGCCCTTGGCTATTTCGTACCACCTGCCTTCGAGAATATCCAGTGGAAGGTGTATATCCTATTTGGGGTCTTCTGCGCGACGATGTTCGTTCATGTTTTCTTTTTGTTTCCGGAGACGGCCGGGAAGACTCTGGAGGAGGTTGAGGTGATGTTTACAGATAAGAAGGGGATTAGGTATTTGGGTACGCCGGCTTGGAGAACGAGGGTTGTGAAGAGAGGGGCGGATGGTGATTTGTTGAACGAGAAGGAGGCGCATGGGACGCTTCATGAGAGGAGTAGTGATGAGGAGGCAGGAGTGTTGCAGCAAGTTGAGAAGTAGACGGTATTTGGGTAGGATGAGGAGGACGCGCTTGGTGAAGAGTTTGACCTATGTGTTAAGGATGATGACTGGAGTTGGTGGAAATGACTGATTTTATTGCATTTATAGCCATATCTTGTCCTAAATAGTAATAATAATTTGGCAAAGCATCATCATCTCTTGCTTGTTGTTCGTGTAAATCCTTATAATTTCTTTGCTGCCACAGCATTTCATGCCACAAGAGCGGGCTGAATCGCTTACTTGGTGCATTCATAAGACAGTGAGGCCCGGATCCATCTCGTAGAAAAGGGCAGGTGAGTGGAGGCTATTGTTGGTTCAAACTAGCCGATCGCAGCACACTCGAACTATGTTGCCGGCTATGTGGTCAATCGATCTCTTCTGGTATTTTGGTCAGCCAGGAAACGGACGTGTAAGCCTCCTCCATCGTCTCCTCCCCCCATTCCACACGATCTTGGGAAGCATCTGAGGTGAACCCCGCTTCGCGACTGCAGGATTAAGAAATGATGTCTCTGATAGCAAGCAGAGCAATGCTAACATTCGCTCTCCTCTGTCAGTTGTACTATCGTCGTCCAGGCGCTCACTTTCGCCATCTCCAATGAGGCTTCAACGCCTGCGCAGAGAGTGCGTCGCACATTATTTGCCCACCTTTCCTTCAACTCCTTTGAGTTGATGCGACCTCCAAACCGAATCTCTTCACCACATTCTCAAGCCATACTTGACCTGTGTGTAGCGACCCCCACTCGACGTATCGTGTCAGCAGCCAGATCGACGACAGCAGCAGGGAACTGTGGTAGGTAAACAAACAAACAAACAAGGTGATCAGCCTCAGAAACTCTACAGCATCTCTCATGGTGGCCTATATCCTCTGCCGTCTATATTCCTCTCTTTTCTCATTTCGACTCGCCTTCTATTTGCACTCCTCTCATCTTTGCTTTTCAAATCTTGTGATGACATGGTTTGTTTACTTTCACGGCCCCGCAGTCTGTCAGCTTCTCTTCCCATCATCATCGTCATGGTGGCGCGCTCTACTGCAAATCTAATTGTTCAATATAAATCGGAGAACATCGATCTTACATTCCAACGGCGTCTTCATGGTGTGTTGGAAAGTAGGGTTGTCCTGGGCATGACGTTAAAAGGCCCTCTCCCTCTCGATCCCCCATCTCGGGAGTTCTCGGCAGTAACCCCACTGCGTCTCGTGTCTCTGCCGCAGAAGGCAAGGCGCTTCTGGTAAGCTATCGTTCAAGAATCTTCCAAAACAATCTCCTCTAACTTCTGCAGATACCCAAACTATACTCAATCCGAAGTACGATACTCGTCCAGCTTCACCCAAACGATTCCAACGAATTCGTCTACACTTCCACATTTCGGCATTCCAGCTAGCTGTCTTGTTCTCCAGCACAATCAACGACGTTCACTCCATCACCAGCCCAGAACATCAAGTCAACTCAATCAAAGCCATTCGCAACGCCAAGTAACGTTGAGACGACATGCTGGAAGGGGCTATGGCAGCCGTCTATTCAATAAACAAACAAACGACCACCACCTACGACAGTCTGCCGAATCTGCCAATTCTTTCACTCCGTCCCAAAGCCAGAATATCAACTAAAGGACAAGCTTAAGATACTTGCCTGCAACTACATCCAGCAAATTTATCCCTTCCTGAAAAGCGGTTCATGGCACGGAGTAATCATTCCAACGGATGTGTTTACAATTCAATACTCTCAGCTGTCCCGAGCTTTTAGGCCCTTTCACAGATGTTCACTCGGTTTTCAAGCCAGAACATCACAATCTCCACATCCCCGACTTTTGCAGACATGCACCGAACGCCGATCCACGAATATAGCACACCATCCGAATCTTCTCATGTCACAACAACATCCTCTAGGGTTAGATCTTCAGACATTACAACCCATGTGTGGACGTGTTATGGCGACATCTCCATATCTAGTACTGACAAGTACCCTTCGGTCCCCGTTCATGACCCTTCAATCTCTCGAGGTAAGTTCATGACATTGTTTCAACATTGCAGCTGCTAACCCAGTGGCAGATCCTCTTTTCAACCTCTCAATCTACGGTGATGCCCGACCATACATTCTCCCAGGTAGATCTTGGTGCTTTTAACCTCGCAGTAACGCGTCTGCAAACCCTGATCCTCAACCAAGCCATACCTACGTGTCCGGTCGAGGTTCAAGGCCCTCTGAATCTATTTCTGGATACCAGGATGATTCAATATCCTGAGCAGAAGTTGTGACATCGTTGGTGCCATCCAGCAAACACGCCTTTGTTCCCAACATACAACCCTTCAATTTCTCAACGTGAGTTCCAAACACTACAAAACTACTAAAGGTCATTGACTCTGTTAGAATTCTTAGCCTCTAGAGCCTACGTTTCGTCCCGGCCACCACGCTCAATCTGCCACGAGAAACTTGAGACACCAGTAAAGTTACACGCCAAGCGCCGTCTCTCTTCCTCGGCAATTCACCATGCCAAAGTCAAATCGCCCGACGCTATTCTCGCAACATCCTTCCCTGCTCGGTCCCGAAACTTACATTCTTCTTGGTCCAAAGTCAACTGTGAAGAAGTGTGATAGCTGGACTGTTTGAAGATGATGTACGCCTTTACCTAAGGAGAGAAACACTCTGGACTGTGACGAGATCCAAAATCACCTCGCCATTCGAGAAGGTATTGCTTACAAGAAACGAGATGTTGACCAACAAACTTGCCAAGCACGATTTGTTGCAAGAGGATTGGGAACAATAACATTGCGTGGGAGACATTTCCATGGCAGTTTTGAGGGGTTCACAGAATATCTTGATTGCTATTTGCCACTCGGGGTGAATGGTTGACGCAAATCCTCAACATTGGTTGCAAGAAAGACATGGCTCAGAAAGATCCCTGATTCCCGCTTATAAATTTATAAATTCTTACGCATAATATCTTTCCATTTTTTGATCTAGTATCAGAATAGGAGATTTGGGCGAGTGCTGAAATTTTGCGCTTTAGTCTTGCGATGAAAAACCTAAGGATTTTTTGCCATCGAAGATGGACGGCCAAGTGGCTGTTTGAAGGGCCCCGCATGACGTTTCTCCGATTTGTCCATTAGATTGAATTCCTAGTTTAACACTCCCGTCTGTAGCCTCCATTGAAAGTTGCCGAACTAGTGCTTAATTCCTTCAAACAGCGGGACTTGTTTTGAAGTAGGCAGGGAAGTCATGAACCGCCGAGAAGTCCTATATCAACACGTCAAAGTAGCTTCCATTACCTTTTTCAGGCGCATTATTTCTGTCTGATTAGTTGTCCTATATGTATTAGCAGAGATGGGATTGCAGCTTTAGTTTGCTCCGAGCGGGCTATATGGCTGACTGGAGGAGTAATTCGCTCAAGCAAGGGAAAGAGGGTGGCTCCTAGTGAGACGCAAATATTCCACTGCATTTGTAGCAATACCTCTTGTCGCCAGATCGAGTATTCGTTTATAGTTAAGTGTATATACATGCGTAAGAACGATGGTGCTTAGTGTCGGCTTTGAATGAGACGATTCACTGAGGTGGTTAGGTGTGCGGCATGTGTCCACTTCCCAGGCCGGCTCGGCTCGTGAATGTTCGTCAGTAAGTACATAATATTGGGGAAATGTCTCGCAAGGACTATCCTAAGTCGAATTTTCAAATGAACGTAGTAGGTAGTGAATGGATTGTGAGCGATGCAGAATTTTCTGAAGTCGAAATACGTCGAAGTGCGAACACAGTGAGGTGTGCGAAGGTGGCACAGTACCCCGCATTCTTGGCCCCTAACACCTCGGTAGCGTAGCCGCCCACTCAATGATGCTTCGGATGCTCGTGGAGCGTGCTAAATTTATGTAGCCTTCATATAACCACATAAGCAATCTCTGCCATCGAACATGATAGGGCTTGTGGTTTAGTGGTATAATACTCCCTTAGCAGGCCTGGAGCAATTCAGAGACAGATATGAATATATCTGGGAGTGGTCCGGGGTTCGATTCCCCGCGAGTCCAATCGCGAATGTTAAATTCATTCAATTATCCCAAATTTTTTTAGATGTTTTTGCCGTTTTCTTGAATGAACGTTGTGTGGTAGGCTGGTGGGCTAAGTGTGTGCTAGGGCTTCTCTTCACCTGTTTGGGAAACGGCCGATTTGAGGCACAGACCACCACCAAAAATCCGTCAATTTCAGTCTCAAAAGGCATATAACTTTACAACCACAACCACGAATTCTTTCAAATTAAAAGGGCTAATACATTGCACCCGCTAGATTCACTGCATTAACTTAAATAAATATAAACGTAAGTGTGGTTGTGGAATAATCGCCCTTTTAAGCGAGTGCCACGAATCGGCCACTTCCCATCCACCTGAAGAGGGGCTTGTGAGACAGGCGTTAGCGAAGAACCGGACGTGGCGGGGAGGCTCGGGTTCTGGGCGCATCCCCGTGCTATTCGCGCAATTTATGCAGAAAAGAAGATGGTGACTGTCCCTTGGGTCTAAAGATTAAGGGACGAGTATCTACTCGTATCTAAGTGACGAAAAGTACAAGTTGTCTCAAATTTCTGAGAAGGCCGGGTTAGTTTTCTTTTGTGGAAACTCTGAGCTGTTCACTCATCAGTCTATGGTGGCCGATACCTTAGGATGACAGTCGTTAACGGTTACTCATTGCACTTCACGAATACTCAAGCAATTGCAGAAGTCTGAGAATGCCAAAGAGCAGGCAACTAAGCATCCATTGTATTAGATTATCAAATCTTAACCAAGCATGATCTTCCAGAGTTGTCAAGTGTTCGCCACCGAGTCCTGCATCATTCTCACGGCCATTACAGCATTTTTACTATTTCTTTTAGCGAGAGAGTCTTTCATCTTGATGTAGGGACCCTATCCAATTATCAATCTTTTTGCTATAATGCTTCGCTGTGATATCGCAAGGAATCACTTCAAGAGCTGCTCCAGTCTCACGTGGTAAGTTAGACTCGTAACTAGATTGCATTTTCTGGAATCAAACGGGATTGATATCAAGCATCCAACGAACCCAGGAGTAGACTGCCAGCTAACTGACCCATCGGCACGAACTAGCAACGATAAAACCATCATAAATTCATAAGTTACCATCAGAACACCATCCATCCAAACCAAATTCAAAGGGTATCAAGAAACGCCAGAATCCTCCACCTTCTCAAGGCAACTCAATAGGCCCCTGCGGCCTCACATCACTCCTCAACTCTGCAGGATATCTGTCACTCCTCGGACTCTTCTGACTCCCCTCCATCTCACTAATAGCCGTCTGCGTACTCATTCGATTCGATTTATACCTCGGAAACCTCCCATCTATCCCAGCTGTACTAGGCGGACTCAGAGGCGGACTTCCAGGTGGACTTCCCCATTCCAACCTCCTATTCGTCTCAGCAGCTTCCTGCAATTGTGCCTTGACAACCAATCTCGCCACAAGTGTAGCCAAAGCATCTTTCAAAGTCTTCCGAACGAACCGAGTCATCAAAAAGTTGCATTTCACTAAATGAAAAAAACGATCAGCCATGAAATCCAAAAAAGAAGAAGAAAAATAGAAAGACTCACTTTCAACATCCTCCCTCAAATACAACCCACTAATCGGCGCTCCAATACCAATCTCTGCTGGCATAACAGGCTCTCCAGGCATATTCCCTCCCAACGTCCATTTCTCTTTAATATCCAACCCCATCGGCGCATAGACATGATTCTGCAATCCATTTGCCAAATCATGAAAGCAAGCTTTGAACGACACCTTCCCTTTATATCCCGGCAGGTAGCTTATCGTATCCGTGATCTGATACCAGGCGCAGTGATATTCTTCGGGTGTAGCTTCGGGTGGAGGGTTGATTCGATGACGTTCCGTGTGCGCGGGGTTGAGGTCGATCATCTCGATATGAGAATGCAGAGTCTCGAGGACGGTCTGGCGCGACACTCCGGCCGGGAGAGGCGTTATCGTCGTGAATAGTGTCTTGGGCATCGTGATGTTGTGCGATGGGGATGTGCGACTGCGACACGGATCCTCTTGGGGGATGTGAAGGCTTTTTGTTTGTTGGAGGGTATGGGCCTCGTAATCTGACGTGAGCGATCAGCTTCCTGTGGGTTGTCGGAGCTTGGCGGTGGGGTGCTTGATATCGAGGGTTTTATATGGGCCAGATTGAGTTCTGCGACCTGAATTTTAGCAAGTCAGCTTATGAGCTGCGTAGAGAATATCTGTGGAGCTGAATTCGATTTCTTTTATGATAAGTTACTGTATTGTCTTTCGTTCTATCACATTTCTCAGCATCTCCAAGATGACGCTGACGCCAGGTGCCAACTCAGTAGTCGGGAGGACAAAAAGCTTATGGCGTGGCGAATTGAGCAGTGCCCCGATTAATGATACGCCACTTGTGATACTACCTATAGGCCATAGCAAATGTTAAATGTCACCAGTTGCGGTGGGGCTTTGAGCCTGTACAGACCAATCATCTAGTCAAGATACTAGATCTTGCTCTTTAATTGGCTCGACCATTTAACATTTGCTGTCCCCTGTACAGAGTATTTGTCAGGGAACTTGGAAGTTGATTGGAACCTGGCTTGGTTGGCAATTATTTCTTTGTATTCAAGTCGCATGCGTGTCGCGCAACTAAGTTTCTAAGATAGGGCTACCAGATCGTCATCATGACCCTGCAATACCCCTGGAAAGGGTCGATAAGGTCCCGAATGCAAGGAGACGAAGCCTGAATGTCTTGGGTTTTTGCTAGCGAGAGACATACAGGAGGCGTGCAGGTGGCTGGGTTCATTGCAGTACCTCATGAATCGATCCGGTTCTCCTCCAATGCTCAAATTGCAAGAATGCATTATTCTGTTGCCCAAATATTTTCAGGTTTCGATTGAAATCCGTTGTCATGGATTTCATGAAGTTGTAGTTTACAGTACAATCAAACAATCTCGAATTAAGACATCCCGTCAAATCCCGCGATATAGTGCTGCTGAGCCGGCATCACGAGTTGCCGAAACAAATATGGGAGAGTTTCTTGTTTATGATGAATGTTAAATGGCAGACGAGCTCTCTTTTGTGGCTTATCTGCAGCCATGTTGTTGATAGTCGCCTATTTGTCGGCGAAACTACAGGCTGTTTTGCGAGGGGCTCAGGGGGCTGGTTCCTTGTTTTGGAGATCAAAACTATAGGAGTAGCCAAATAGGAAAGAACGATCGAAGCGATTATTGCGCAAATGCTTAGAGACAGCTAATGAATGGGACGAGATAAGAAAACATAGCACTTTTGAAAGTTGTACCCCTTGAGCACGATTTACTTCTTATTCTGTTCCCACTCCATGGCGTTCCTGAGGCATGAGTTGACAAGTAGTTTACTAACTGATAGCCTTGCTGCTCTTCTTAGCGGACCTGTGACTTCTTAGTCTTCGGCATTTCTACGAAGGACAGTAGCAAAGCAGACTTGAGAATACCAACGGGAACCATGATCGGCTTCCCCTGACCCCTTGGCCACTGCCAAAGCAGCAAAGCCTGCTGGCGATGGTTCGGATTCTAAATGGCATCGCCGGATCCCCTCCTGGTTGGCAACTGGCTCTGGGAGATTAATGATGTTACAAATTTGAAAAGGAAAAAAAAGGCCCAGGCTAAGATATGCCATGCTTGAATATTTTTGTCCTGCTGCTTCAATCTAATTTGTTCTGTTCCCTTTGTCTTCCCCCTTGCCGTGGTAGATTGCAGAGGCGAGAATCGCATTCTGATGCCAACAACACTTTAGCATTTCAGGAAAAAGACAGTGGGAAGTGACCCAATCCCAAGGAGCCATACTTTTCTTACAATATTAAATCCTGTTTTATTGATGCTGCTTTAAGGTGTCATCGCCTCCATACCAGGCGACAGTAATCAACGTTGTACCCGTAAATGTAAGATCTCGTTGAAGAGTTCTTTGAAATTGGTCTGTTTTATATAAATTCATAAGCAGTTTTTTATCTACCAAATATTCGCGCTGTCAAATGGCATGAGAGTCTATCCGTTGATACATACATTCTTCACCTGCTACGAAAGTAGTTCAAACAAACTCCTCAACTGTCCCTATCCATGCACTACAAAGTATCTTGATCAAATAAACAATTGCCACTTCATTTAATCCATAATAGTCTATGCAACCAAATCCGAGGATTTCAGCGCTCCCAAAAACATCTTTTATGATCCATCATATTAATTGATACTCTTTCCTCGACCATGATTCGTTGAACTAGCGGCTGAGGCTGGTGAGGCTGAAAGCTTCTTCCTCACCTCATCTCTCTAGAGTTAGGGGGGCTTACTCATTCATTGTTGTTGTCTGACGTTCTGGACCTCATTTTCCCATAATCACCTATGTACCTCAACTTTGTCCTAGCCAGGGGACCTCAAAACCTTACTCTGGAGAGTATCCACGAACAGCGGGGTAATCCTCCCGAGACAACCCAATTAACGCTGATGAACTTAATCCATCGGCAGTCCGATTCCAGCTTAGGAAGTGGTAGAACGAGGGGTTCAAAGTAGAGCCCTGGAAATCTGTACGTTCTTGGATCTGCTGGGTTTTCAAGGCCAGCTAGTGGCACATGGTTTGGCTTTCTCAACTTCTCATCCTCAACGGGTCCGGATATCAGGAACCCCTGATGGAGATCTAGAGCTTGATATTTCATAAGCAGTCATTATTTTATTTTTCTTCCTTTTGTCCTTCTCAAACAACATGATACCGAGTTATGACCGAGCTGCTCAAAAGGTTTGACGGCAGGAGTTGCCTGTCTCGTCTCCTGAAGACGGCCTGATTGTTTTTGTCCAAAGCCTAGATGTTAAGGAAGGCAAGTATGCCGAGAAGGACGAACTTTAGATCAACATCGCATATCTTTACCCCGCATGCTAAAGCTCGGCCTTAATCAAAATGAGCTACAGAAGGCAGCGTCAAGATAGCGGATATACTCTCGAGGCAAGCTAAATTCGTCTCCGATAAAGCGAGCTGCTTTCTTGCCTATACAATTCACTTCAAT